CAGCTCTCTACTTAGGCAAAGTGGTGGTTTGAGCTAAACGCTAAATGCTTATTAGCTTGCTAATGCTGTAGCATATTAGCATGCTAACATTTGCTTGATTGTGAAGATTGTAAATGAGACAAATGGAGAGATGGAATAAATGCAAAAAAATCGAAATAATTTGAGGATCTAAATTCTGAAATTACTTTTAGACAGAAAACATTTTCCTAATTTCTTTTTTATATTATAACCACCTCAGAAGTATAACGCTGAGTCATTGTAAGCCAGTTAGCCAGACATGCTAACATTTGCAGCTTACTTTAGGGCAGACAAACACACTTGAATGTGTTCTTTACACTCTTATACTCTTGTTGTACTTTGTTTAGACGAGTGACAATAACACTTATAATAACGCTTTATAAAACACTTCTGATTATTACTTCATTACTAGCGGGCTAGCTAACTGTTAATTCCCACGGGATAAAACATCTTCCCCTGCACATTCAGCCTGTTTGCACAAATTACACATTTTGGACAAAACAAGTCTACAAAGTGCAGTTTGCTGGAATCAAACTAGAGGATTTCTTGTCAACGTGAAACTTTCCACACAGAAACCTCTCCCTGATATTTGAGGCCGACAACATGCACAGTTGCTTAAGCCAAGGATTTGACATTTCCCTCCAGTGAAGTAAAAAAAAAGAAAAAGTAAATGTATTTATTTTATCTACTTGATCACCACTCTGCAGGATGCCTCGGTAAACAAACAACTAATCCATCAGAGTAAGTGAATTTAGTTATATTGGATTCATAAGGGAAGAACAACACTGTCATTAGTCTCACTGTCAGGAATAATTCAGCCTTGTGTCTTTGTCCTGCTGCTCTACAGCTGCAGGCAGTCATTTATGCAGAAACATAATGAAGTACACCGGATGCTCCCCGAGCACCTGAACAGCATGGGGAGCAGATTTGCATCAATTTATATTTACAGACCAAAGATATTCTGACAGGTGGCTTTATTTTCTGACTTGTTTTATCGTAGATTATTCTAGACAGCCGACAGAGAATTAATTGATTTGGTATGCATCATCTGGATAAATGTGATTAAATGTGTCCCTTTTCTCTTTTTAACATAAACTATTTTAACCAAAATACTTAAATCACTTGAGCCATGTGACTGACGACACTAATGATTCACATGGCTAACGACACTAACAACACACGTGACTAGCGATTGACAAATGAGTCTCGCGACTAGCGACTCACTTGAGTCACAAGGCTAACGGCACAAACAACTCACATGGTTAGTGGAGTAAAAAGTACAATACAGCCCTCTGATTTATAGTGGAGTAGAAGTATAAAGTAGCAGACAATTGAAGTAATATGGATATTGATTATATACATTATTTAAATTGTTAATAATTATTAAAATGATTGAAATTATCATTATTATTGACATTATTGTTATTATTATTGTTTAGTGGTCAGAATAAATATTAATATTTGGGGAAGTTAAGATAAATATGGGGTGATTATTGGTTTAATGATACATACTGTTTGTATATCAAAGCCTACATCCTGAAATGTCACTTCTTTGATTTGTAATTTTACATCTGGAGCAATAATACATTTTAGCAATATCTTTTGTCTCCAGTGTCTTATTGAGATATGAACTCATCACATCCTCATCACATCCTCTTTGGTTCTTGTTGTCCTCCAGCAGAGGGCGCTGAAACCAAACTTTATGTTCACCACTTCAGCACTGATCTGAGAAGAGTCTGACTTTTTCATTTTACTAAAGCTTGTTGGAGGAAATATTATTTATTTGTATAAGTAAAAGCACTAATACCCCTGTGTAAAAATACTCTGTTACAAGTAAAAGTCCTGCATTGAAAATATGAGTATAATCAATAAAATGTACTTAAAGTATTAAAAGTATAAAATGTCCCCTGTGACTGTTATACTATTATATTTATCTTATCATTGGATTATTATTACTTCGTGCACTAATGTCAAAGCAGGACTTTAGTGTTGTAGGTGAGCCGGAGCTCCTTTGAACTATAAACTAATGATTTTATGGATAAATCTGGTGATTATTTTATTCTTTAATCAATTGATTGGTTTATAAAAATAAAAAAAATGTTTGGTCGTTTGATTTATAACAAAATAATAATAATTTAGTTTATTAATAAATTAATAAAGTCTTTTTTCTTCTTTAAGTTTTGTCAGAATATAAATACTTAAAAAAAAACTTGCCATTGTTTAAGATTTTGAGTACTTTTGCTACTTTAAGTACATTTCACTAATACTACTTTAACTTGAGTATAGTCACAGTGTGGTTTTGCTGCTTAAGTAAACACTAAATACTTCCTCCATCAGTCCTCATTGGAGCTTTGGTAAGTTTGTTTAAAACCTAAAATACATCAAGTCCTGCCTGAACTTCACGGTGCATGAGTCCCTGACCCCCCACTCTGTTCTCCACATACCAGCAGCACACCTGTGGTTCTGCTTTTGGTTGCTAGAACCTGAAATGCTCTTTGAAGTGATCTGCCTGTTGTAGCAGCATAAATATGCATGAGAGGAATCTTATAAGAGCAAAGATGAAAGACACATTTTTTCTTTCTCAAAGGACGCGTGTTGTGTTTTCTGTCAGAAACATGAAAAAAGATTAGTTTTTTTTATATTTGAAGTTGACTGAGTTCATTCAGCTGTTTCAGAAGTTTCTATACTCGGTGTGATTTCAGCGCGTTACACCGACTGGAACATTTCAGGGCAAGTAATGTTATCAGTGTACAAACTGTACCACCATCTCAGTATTATTGCAAAACAGATACTACCTTTTCTACGATGTGGGAAGTAGCAAAGTACATTTGGATACTTTATTTTAAACGTTCATGTTTGGCGGACTATTAATACAAATACTTTGAATACACCACATTTCTCTGGGGAAATATTCATTCACCCATGTAGATACTGCAGATAAACTCAAACAGTTTTAGTCTTGACAGATTTAAAACTTAGAAGTACACACGTATTGTACTTAAGTACAGTTTTGTGGTAATGTGCCTTACTGGACTCTATAGGAGTTACTTTGTACTTTTTCTCGACTACATCTACTTTGACAGCTACAGTTACTTTGCAGATTAGATTGTACATAAAAATAGGAACATTTTACTGTTTTGTTATAGATTATTCCACCCAACAAATATAAAGTATATATAAAACCAAAGAAATGTGCTTTCTGTTGAAAAGAGCAGGTGCTAACAGTTAAAATGTCTTTGTCAAATGTTAATATTTTTTTATGGGAGTTGCGGTTTAATTAGACACACTAAAAGCAGTTGAAGTCTCAGTTGAAATACAGGATAAGCAGCTAAAATGTCAGTTATCTAAGTCAAGAAACAATAAAAGCAGTTGAACTTTTAAATTAGAAGAGTATTTTCCATTGCGGTGGCATATATTACTTTCACAGAATGATGACTACATCTTTCACTGCTGTCGGTAAATCAAACTGTCTCAGACTCAGAGGAATCCTTACCTCTATACCTTCATCTCCAGATGGGATTTCCTGTCTGTGTCTGAGGGCGGGGCTTGATCTCAGGAACCCCCCCCCCCCTGTCTCCCAGCACTGGTACTGTGACACAGACTGGGAATGTGACTGGTAGGAAGTGAGGGACAGCAGTGAGAACACTCCATCTTGACATGTTCAACTGGTCACCATGGCTTTGTTTCCTGCCTTCATTGTTCAAGATGAGCAGGAAGGATGAGCAATCGCTAAACTATCACGGCTATTCTTCCAGTGTGTTGTCGCTCTGTTCTTGTGATGTGGTGTCTGTTGGTGTCTGTTGGCGTTTAGCAGGATTGATCCCTAAAATACTGTAAAACAGTCTGCAGATCCTAAAGTTGTTTGTGGTTCATAGGTCAACAAATACATCCAATTAACTAGAATGTCTGAAAAGTAATTAAAGCTGTCAGACAAATGTAGTAAAAAGAACAATATTTACATCTGAGATGTTGTGGAGGAGAAGTATAAAGTAGCATGAAAAGAAAAGACTCAAGTAAAGTACAAGTACCTGCATGTGAGCTAAGTAACGTTTAACTGGTTGAAAAAGGCGTTTGAGACGATGAAGAAGGGAACTGGTGGAGAAGAAGAGAAATGTTGCAGCTACAAAACCGTTTGGATGCATAAATAATAGCAGAATGAACCTTGAATTAAAAGCCTGCAGCGTGAACATTAAGCTGAGCTCTTAAAAAGAGGATTCATGTCAGAAAGCTGCAGGGGAGCCGCACACTCAGCACTTTAATCACACCGTTAAGTGACGGTGTGCAGCATGTTTATACTTTTATTCCGATATAAAGCAGTGTTTGTAATCGGGGCCTCGGGGGGCCACAGAGGCTGAACTGTGCTGAGCTGGAGTCAGTGGAAAGTGCTTGGCTAGTGGAAACCACAGAGCAGCTATAAACAGCGGCTGGTGGCCGACCACTAAAGCGTGCCGAGGCCGACACACCCAGCAGCTTCCCCCTCCGCTCCGCCCGGCTGTTAGATTCCTGCTGCAGATGTTGTTCACTCCAAAAAACACCAACAAACACACACTTCATACGAGGGTTTGAAGGTTCAAACACAGAGACGGAGCAACCAGAAAGGTTTTCAAAGTCAAAATAATATTTATTCCATAGATTTCAAAAATACTGCGCCATATAAATATTACAAAATACGATGAATAATACTGAGTCAATATACTTGAACTTAAAAACAGACAATTGGGATGAAAACACGGACAGACGTCCGATGAGCGTTGCAGCAGTTTGTTCTTCAGTGTTAAACATATTGAAACATGTCTGCTGATGATTCTCAAACAAACTGATCTCAAATCAGTAACTCTGAGATGTTTTGATTTTGTAAGGCTTTAAAGGAAAAGTTGACTGTTATTGACTTTGTTGCTGAACGTTAGCTGAGAGGATTGATACCACAGTCTAATGTCTGCACGTTTAATATGAAGCTATAGCCAGAGACGGGTTAGCTTAGCTTAGCATGAACATTGGAAACAAGGGGAGACAGACGAGAAAAACCGGGCAAGCTGTTTCCCGCTGTCTTTATGCTAAGCTAAGCTAATAGACAGACGTGAGAGTGTGGCGCCAATCTTCTCACCTAACTGCAAACAAGAAAGTGAATAAACATAATACCCAAAATGTTGAACTATTCCTTTATTGAAGAATCACTACTGCACATATTGTTGTGTGTGTAGATGTGAATGTCGCTCCACTAAAAGATCCCAAAACATACAAACAACTGACTGAAGCAGACAAAGTAACATTTTCTTTCTGTGCATTTTAAAATGTAAAATACTGTTTATCTCCAAAACGACGTAGAAATAGTTGCTAATGAACTCATCTCACAGTTACAGAACAACGTTATCAGTATTTGTGTTTGTGTTGCCTGATGAATTTAAGTCCAATATTCTGTCTTTTCGCTCTGTTTTTGGTCTCCACCACCTCCTGAGTGAAATCTCTGTCTCTTTCTCTGCTAAATGCTCCGCTATGTTCACCAGCTCGTCTCTAACTGGTATGTAGTGTAGTTTAACGACGCCATGCGAGTGTTGAGAGTGAATCAAAACAGTAACGTTGTAAGCTATTAAAGCTATAAGGTATAAAAATAAATAAAGTTGAGGAGATAATTCTCTGTCGGTTCATCACTGTGACTCTGATCCACTATGATACAAATAAAGTTTACAGCTGATATCAAGAGGAACATTTCATCCTCCAGTTTGTTTAAATGCTGAAATAATTGCAGAGAAAGATTCTTGTTACCCATTACCTGAGCTGTTGTTCCTATGATCTTCAGTGGAACGACGTGTGTTGAAAATGACCAACTGCTAAAATGCAAAGAAAGAAAAATGATATTGTCTGACTTGTTTTTCTATAAAATAAGAAAATAAAATCTCCCAGTAACTTGAGATAATTCTGCCTGATCCCAGTGTGGTCTTTCTTTGGTTTTGGGGATTTTCTGAAAAAGACAGAATATTAACAAATATATTTGTCCGAATGCTTGATGCCCAGTGACAGATCAAAGGAATATGAGTTTATAAAACAGCCGTATTGTAAAAATGAATAATTGCAGTTGTTGCCAGACATGAACCTCGTCGGACTGAATACTGTGAACTCACGACATTCAAATAGATGTTTAACAACTACAAATTGCCACAAGCAGCCGCTCTCCTCTCTGCCAAACCCTCACTGGTTTACGAGTGTGGAGTCGAGCCCCGATGCAGAGTTTGTTTATAGGCCAGAAAGACGCTGAGGCAGCAAAACGAGCTTTTAAAAACTTGACCGTGCCCTCAAGTCTCGAGTCATTCCGGCTGCTTTGGGTCGATTGTCTCAACGCACACAAACCAGCTCTATTTCACAACACAGTGTGAAATGAGAAGCAGGAAGTGTGAAACAAACGTCCTGCAAGTATTCCCCAATTGCACATGATCGTCCACACACAGCTCGTCCTTCAGCATTTAGTCGTAGCCGAGCTCGTGCTGCTCGTCTTTGAGTCGATTTTGGCCACCAGCAGTCTGAGAGAGTCTCCTGACGATCGGATCAGTTCTCTACCGCTGGAATTGAAACACAACGAGCTGTAAACACACACACACACACACACACACACACACACAGGGAGAAGAGGTCAGACTAATATCTGTGATGTGTACTTTAATACTTACATGTTATACTCCATTCCGACCACGCTGACGCCGTTAACGGCCAGGATGCGATCGCCCGTTCTCAGTTTGTGACACTGAGCGGCAGGAGAGTCGGGAACAACGGACTTCACAAAAATGCCGCTCATTCTCAGCTGAGTTTTCTACAAAAACATAAAACAGGAAAAGTCAAAGATTATTGACGGTTATGGACGTATTTAGAGACAAACAGCAGCCAGAAATGTGCTGAAATATTCCTTTTTAGTCGGTCGGTCCTCCTCTTAGGTCCAGACTGAAATACCAAACACAACTATCGGAGGGATTGACATGAGAGACAGATATTTATGGATCCTAATATCTTGACTTTTCATTTACTTTCAGGTCAAATTTTAAAGTTGTCCAATACTTTAGCTTTTGACCAAATATCTGCAGAGCTGATCTTCCAAATACCGGCGAGGTAGTGATTACTACAGAGTCACGGAGTAATATGGAACCATTCAAAGTCATTTATTAAATGATCATTTAAATAAATATTTGAAAAAAAAGTAAAATTGACTTTCTTTACTTTGTTTTGAGAGGCTAAGTGCCAACAAATATGAATTTTGTTAGATAAAAACATGTGAATTTTTGGAAATTCTGCCTGTTTCATACTGAATGAATAAGTCATGCATAACATCTGTTCTCAGACATCATGCATCAGTTTTTAATGACTAATGAGCTGTCAACAATATATCCCTGCACCATATCAGCTCCATGAGTCAGTCAGAACATTTAGAGAGAAATCCCTTCAGTTTACACTCTGATCGGATTAGTCTTCATCAGATCTGAGCAGTTGTTCTGTGTCCAGATTAAAGTGTGTAAAAAAGATAAAAACACACGTGGCTGCTGATCTGAAACAGTAACTGTAAATACTTGTTATTAAATCAATGTCACGAGAGAAGAAGAAGTATACAGTATGTATGCTGGATCAAGAATAATTCTTACCTTCCCGTCCACAAGAGCCAGGCCGAGGCCGCGAGGTCCTCTGTGAAGCTCCACCGGGAACACTTCCTCTCTGTCTTCTTCTTCTTCTTCTACACTCACCGTCTTCCTGTCAGCACATCCACTGGCTGAACAAACAAACAGAGAACAAAGTGGTGGTATAAACACTCAGACTGGTCCTGAACTGAACTGCACTGACACAGTTGACTCGCTGCTTTGCAAAACCTCGTTAGCGACTATCAAAACTAGCTGTTACAGATATAAATATTAAGAAGTAGAGTCATTTTCTCATAGACTTGTATACAACCAGAGGAGTCTCCCCCTGCTGGTCAGTAGAGAGAATGAACATTTTAAGACACTTCCGCTTTGGCTTCACTCTGCAGAACCGGAGGTTGCCGCCTGGTCACAACAGCAACGCACCAACAGGAGCAATCCCCCCCCCAAAAACATGTTCCCACCCCTGCAGCTCCTGCTCGAACCCCC